ATTAATTCAATGGAAATAAAATTATAAAAAACGTATCTATTCATTTTGGGGCCTGTGATAGTAAGAGATAAATTTGTCCTAGTAAAATATGTCCAGGAGGATACATATTACTAGTATATTTAGTCCATGGATACAAAATTTTACTAGTATATTTAGTCCCATGTTCATGATGTTGGTAATTCATGTCCCCAGACAAATTCTCCTAAGAATTCTGTCCATGTCATTCATATTTCTAGGTAAAAACGTCCATGCCCATTTTATTTTTAAAGGAAAAATCCAATGAATCAAATCATTTAAATAATGGAAATTGAAATGGTATGTTTTATTATTGTGTATTTATTTATATATGTCTCCAAAAAAAATCATAGGAAATCGTGTGCCTGTCCTTTATTTCAAAAGGAAAATTTTAATGAAAAAAATTATTTACATGTACATGTAAGCAATAGAAATTCATTTCTAATACGACCGCAAAAAATTATGCGGTCGTATATTGGTATCACGGCGTCGTCGGCGTAAGCTTCGACCGAAGACATTTAGTTTCCGGACAATAAATTTTGTATAAGTAAATATAAATCTCTGTAATTTAGTGAATTGCTCAAAAGCCACAAAAAAAAGGGGGGGGGGGGGGGGGGGGGGGGGGGGGGGGGGGGGGGTACAAAAATAAATTTTGTTTGTTTGAAGTATTCTAAGATTAAATCAAACTGAATAGAAATTCTACATAAATCGTTGTATACAATCCCATTTGATGTTTTTCCTTTGACCAAATCGACAGTGAACAAAACTAACCTTTTCTATCAGAAGACATACGTGTACCCACATATCGCACAGCCGTACATTAATAGACTACTAACAAATGTATTCTCCTCATCCTTAACATAGTTTTGCATATAGTATAGTTTTGTAAAATGTTATTTATCTATGTTTTATGTATCCATATTTCAATTCGGAATACACACAATATTCACAATAATTTTTTTTCATAGCAGACTAGCTCCATTTCTGTAAGTGTAACAAAGAACTAAACATTTTCGGTACTCGGTTTCATACATGGAAAGCATAATAATCATCATGACATAAATAAACAAAAGATTGTTATATGTTGAAACTCTAATAGTTATTGAAATTGAGGGGGAGGGGGATTGAAATTTTGAGTCTTTAGAAAGGGGTCTTGAATAAATTTTTCCTTCTTTCAGGTGGGGACTAGAATAAAGAAGAGGCATTACACAAGAGTGCACAGACTCAATTTTTTTCCTTGTTCTTTTTAGCCACTGATTTTATGTTGATAATTCTAAATATAAAGCTTTACCTCAAGTATCATATAATCTGAGAATGACCCACGAAAATGAGTACAAGATCTAATGAACAAAACTGAAAATACATGTACACCTTACAATCATTCCTAAACATGCTTTAAAAAAAGTTGGCCGATTGCAAATTATACTATCCAAGAAACAAACTAAACCAGGAAAACTTAACATTAATAAATGAACCATGAAAATGAGGCCACAGTTTGATGAACCCTGCCAGCTAGACATGGACACCTTACAATCATTAAATTTAATTGTCCTATTGCATACAGTAATCTTTAAAACAAACTTGATAAGGACAATTTAAGATTGACCAATGAACCATGAAAATGAGGTCAGTCAGATGAAAAATTTCCATACAGACATATACACCTTACAATCATTCAATTCACCAAATATACTGTAAATTCAGAAATTATTGTGTGCATTTATCATTGCGATTTTTGTAAAATGGACAAATATACAAGATTAATTATTGCGACCTCAAGAAAATCTGCATACAGTTATATGTATAAGATATAAGAATGCGAGTTCTTATTATTGCAATACTCACTCAGTCGCTGATATGTGGACTTTACAATGAATTAGTGAACAAGCTTGACAAGTGAAAACTGTCTTAGGGGTATGAGGACCTTGTGAGGTAGGCACATACAAAGTATGAAGGATCCCCGTCCCTAAATTGTAGTTCTACCTAAAGGCCAGATGACACCCGCAAGGCAACACTTATTTCATGAAAGAATTATCCATGGTAGACTTGACCACTAAAATTTAACTTTGATCAATGAAATGAGGCTTCTTTTCATCAATCTCCACAAATGTATAATTTAAGGAAATCAATCAATCAAGCATGTAGGATATTTGTGTACGATATTTTGCTCAGCATAAACTCACTTTCAATAAATCAAATATTCCATTTTGCATGAAGATTTCCAGTTTTACACAAAAAATGAAAGTCATAGGGGTTGATTTTTCTTTTATTCTTAATTTTCCTTTTTTTGATGATGCTGTTCCTTTGGCACTGTCTTGTCTGCTTATGGTGTTTCTATATATAGCTATGCCAGTGTCTTGAGCGTTATCTACATTGTAAATGATTTATTAAGGGGTTTTATTTATACCACAAATTATTTGAAAACTTTACCTTTATAGCAGACTATACATACAGAATGTGTTTTTCTCATTGTTAAAGGCCTTACAGTTGCCAACAACTGCTTAAATCCACTTCACTTGAGCTTTGATAAATAGTTGTTTTATTGGCAATCATACCACATTCCCTCATTTTTATATACAGCAAATTGATAAAATTGATCAATGTTGAAGCAACTTATCATAGTAGACACTTTTTTCATATAAAAAATCTTTTATTTTCAGATCACAAATAATATTCAACCAATTTTACACAAATTGTAACACTTGATAACACACCACTTGTGAATGTCAATACCTTACTGTACATGAACAACAGAATTGAAGGCTAACAATAACAAATATATTATAAACTGATTTACTTTTTAAAAGAAAAAAGTTCCTTTGGTGAACCATTGTCATATGCATTGTTCTACAAAATGTACAATGTTTTTTTATGAATATGAACATCATAAGACAGTAAACTTAAAAACATGAAAACATCATTTTCAAAATCCTACATTAAGGTAGCACTACAGTCTAACAATGATTTTTTGAAGATATTTTTTTTATCACATAATTTTGAAGTAAGTATTATTCTGCACAGTTTGAAAAAATCCCAAAGTCATTTTCATATCACAACAGGGAGTAAATTGATAATGAACTTATGTAAATAAAAGCACATGTAATTAATCTAAATATATAGGCAATTGGGAGGGTCTAATATGTCAATCATCTGTTGATACCAGTGTCCAGCTGTTAATCCCTGACCACAAGATAAATATCTCATTGCATTGCAACAAAACTAATTTATAAAACATGGAAGTTTAGAACAGAGAAAAAGAAAAAGATATGAATAGGAAAAAATTTAAAGGGAAAAAATCTACCAAAATGAAAAAAAAAAACTATGGAAAAGAGTGTGAAAGTATCTTTGAAAGCCTCTGACTGCCTGTATAAATTTCTCGTCTTTGGTCTTCTACATTTAAAAATTTTTTTTAGGCATTATAACTAATTTTAAGTTTATGTGAAATTTTTTAATTCCATGAAACTCATAAATCATGTTGGACAGTCTATTTTCAAGAAGGGGATGGTCTTGATCTTTTTATGGACATGTCTTTTAATGCACAATTTTTAATATTTTAGCTAATTTCAGTCATCATGGTCATATTATATTTCTTTTTAAAATTCAAATGAAAATTATTCTTTATAGTGAGAATAATGATGTTAAATATTAATTATGATGCAGCTGGCCAATCCTGTTATTCTCTTATCTTAGACTGTCTGGACAGAGGCGGAGCTTTGTCTTTATTTAATTACTACATCACAGATGTTGGTCAAATCTGTGACGTCAAACTCCCGCCAAATGTCAAGTTAGTGTTATACAGTGCACACAAAATGCAAATTTTACAGCATTAGAGCATCAAAGACACAATGTGTGTGGTTCTATTGATAAAGTAATGGTGTCAGAACACTCCTGGGGTGTTCCCAGTGGAATTTTTGTATTTATGTGGCATTTATAGGGGTTCTTAAGAGGAAATTCAGTTTTAAGGTCATTTCTCAGAACAATTTTTCTTGAGAATTGTAAGGAAAAAATGAAAATAGAAACTTTATGGGTACCCCCTTTGGCTTGACTTTGATATATGTGATTGAAGGGAGTATTTTCTACAATACCGTGTCCCAGTTTTTGGATAATTTGTTTCTAAATGAATTTATAGGTCTCCAAAGATGAAAGGTGAAATGAGGTTTGGCATCCAGCAGTAAAAATAATATATCTTATTACTGGAGGCATATATCAAAAATCTGAGACACGGTTTTGTAGATTGTGAATGGTTGATTAAAGGGATGAAAACAAATTTTTACTACCATTTGACCTGAATGTGCCATTTTCATCCAAGTTGGAAGACCACTTTTTTGGCAATTAATGAGCTATATTTTGAGATTAATCATATACCAAAAATAAATTTATCTACAGATTAAGAAAGAGTTATATTTCAGCTTTAAAATGAGTTAAAGATTTTAAAAATCCATTGAGTAGTTTTGGAGAAATTAATCTTTAAAAACTGTTGGTTGGAGTCAGAAAATTCTGACTGTAGTGAATGATTGTGTATCAAAAGCTTATGTATAAAATTCTCAAGGTACACAATTTTGAACTGAAAATGATTTACTTCAAGTGCACAGCTAAATGTGATTTAAATCCAAGATTAAACTCGGAAAAATCTCACCTAGCTCATACGGCTAGCCAAAGGTATTTGCAATGTATATATATATATATAAATGTATATACAATGTATGTTTAACATCTATTCATTTTAATATAGAAATGATGATCTGGTTTTAAGTTATACCAAATATGTGTTTGTAAGATTTTTATCTGCACACTGAAGTTCCTTTATTTTGGATGTGCACTTTTGCAATGCTTTTCAATAATCTAAAGTAATGTTGCAAAAATTCCTGAGAAAATTACACAATTAATTTCAGTTATTTATATTAATAGCATTACGAAGTATATATATATATATGTACAGCATCAGATACTCATGATTATCATTTGTACATAAATTATGTAAGAAAAAAAAAAGAAAAACAATTTTACTATCATAACTTGTACACTAATTATATTAGATGCATGACTAGAGACTTAATTTTTCATGTGGAGATGCAGAAACAGACATATATTTTAATATTGGCAGACAGTTCTAACATCTACACTTAAATACCAACAATTGCAACATCAACATCAAAATATCAACTACAAAAATCCTGATTATTGCTAGTATTCATGTGTAGGGTGAATATCCAAATGATGTCAATAAACTTAAACACTTTACAAACTTCTCTTTACGCAGAACACATCTCTCAAGCTCAGAATCTAAATTTGTCTTTTGCTCTGCTGTTAGTTGCACCTGTTGTTGGTTAGAGTTCCCTAAAATCTCAACTTCTAAATCGCCTAGAGAAATACCAAATTGAGCTAATCCATTTTCTAGTCTCTCTTCTAAACTGAAACTTCTCTCAAATACTTCAGATGGTGCTGTATGTAAGGACCCCATATTGTTCAACATACCGCTAACCCAAAGCTATCGTGGTGTTTTCTGATGAGCTGTCCTTAAAGACTAAAAGGATGGGCATTCCATCCTCTCTGGAACTTGTCAAGTTCGTCCTTTAAGATAGGGATATAAACATATTGTAGTGCCCATATCTGTATGTTGTTACTTGGATCCAGCTGTACATCTAAGGAATCTTCCATGTCATAAAACTCTTTTCTAAAAACCGAAGTCACCTCCTTATGCATATCTCGCCAAACTCTTTCAATCCTTTGATTATGGACTGAACGACCAGTAATATGGCTACTTCTTCCTCTTATTAGGTTCATAAATAGAGCTACCTTTGTGTTCTCTGTGCCATGGTCAGACCGTACTCTTGATGGAACACCAAGTGTAGTACAAGCTTTAACAAACAAGAACCGATGATGCTGTGTTATTTGTACCACAGTGGAGAAAGGTAATATACCTGCTGTATCCATCAATACATCCATGGGTCACAAATCCCCATCTGTAAACAATAAAGTAAGAGAAAATAAGACAATCTTCATGTATGTTCATGATGTATTATATATGATTTAACTAACAAAAACATTTCTTTCTGCATAAAGCGTATGATTATCTGCATGTAATTGAATGTACATCATACATTTGCACATGAGTGCACACACTGAAATGTTAGTGGGTATTATCACAATTTCAATAAAAAAAAACCACATGTATGTTTAATATAGTACAATGTATTTGTATATAAATGATTGAGGCCATTATTTTTTGTCCTTTATTGTATACTATGTGGTTTGAGCTTTTTCTTATCATTTCATCTAAGAGTAAGACACAGTTAAAGACTGTTAACTGTATTTGATTCGGACAACTTATGCAAATCAAATTGTCTTTTTAAGTAGTAGAAAACAAATATGTGACCCATGGGACAAAGATGATGCCCCGCTTGCATATATCATGTATATCTAAAGTTATAAACGGACATAATTTTAGAACAGTGAAAGAGACACTATCAAATTGTGCACTTGATCTGAGATTTGTTGTAATAAGTATTGTGTGTAAGTTTCATAACATTAAATTTGGATCAAGCAAACTAAGTTCAGGAACAGAAACAAAAATTTCTACAATTTTTCAATTTGTTAAGGGGCATAACTCTAGAACAGTAAAAGTGAAGTCACTAAAATTCAAACTAGATCTGTGCTTGTTGGTATAAATAAGCATTGGGTATAAGTTTCATAACATTTGGTTGATGCAAACTAAAGTCAGAGAATGGAAACTATGGAAACCAATTTTGGAACATATGTAAGGATAAGTGTAAAACTTCAGGCCCCTTTCTGCTACTGTGGGTGCATAACTAATAATCTAATAACAAACAAAGGAACATCCAGAAAATGAAACAGTTCCCCATGGCCATCAAAAATAGCCCTTAAAACCAAAAGTGTTTATGTGATTGTATACCTATTGAGTTTCATATGACCATCCATATGCCAGAGGGTATTTGGTGTAGCTACACTATAAACTCTTCTATGCACTGCAGCTGACCATCTTTCGCTAGTTCCATCAGGATCAACTCTTCTTAAACTAGCCCTAACTCGCTGCCGTTGTATAACTTGGCCATCTGCTCTGAGGTAACCTTGTATCATCTGCAATTTACATTTGTATTTCGATAATTTATCATATTATATTAAAATTTAGGAAAATTACAACTTGATCATGAAGAATTTTAATCCTGATCTAGCATAGTAAGTTAAAGTAATAGACACAGACTAGAATAAGAATGACAGAATACCTGCTACCACATATACATGTAAATGCAAAAATAATTATATAAATCAGCATTAATATTTAGGTCAAATGCTCTAATATCAATTCAGATGATCAATAACTATATGTGCAGCAACTTTACTAGCTGACCATTTTGAATTATCCTTTTTCATGTTTTGCTATTCTAGTTTTCAAGATACATGTACATTTGTAGTTCACCAAAAATCAAAAGGAAATAAGTTCAATGCAAAGGAAAACAAATCAAGGGCAAAAACTGAGAATATTGATCTCATTGATTGTATATAATATATATATATATATAGTTTGTGAGATATATTACAGTAACATGCATACACCTGCAAGTACATGTACAAATGAAGCAACTAATCGTACACAATTTTGATATGCATGTAAAGTCATGTATACATATTCAGTTTGTTACAGATGTTGCACTGAATGTAAACTTTATTCTAGTAGATATGTTAAATAATAACAGGGTACACACAGTTATCTATAGTATACTATATAATTATAGCCTTTGTGTGTAGACTATACAAGAATATATTGACATGAAAGAAGTATATTGACTTCTTTGGCTCGATAAATCCTGTAATGACCTCATACAAAGGCTATTATTTTTTTCTGTCCACATTTGTATTAAAATAGTCACAGGCTCAGCATTAAATTTTCTTTTTTTATTTATCTAATTTTGTTGAAATTTTATAGATATCATATTGTCACTTTGGAGAATCTGTTTTCCATGGACAGTCCATGCTCCTTGAGTTTTGAGTAAATTACTTTCCTACAGCACCCAAAATTGTCTGCCATTTGTGCTCCTGTAAAATTGGACTGGTACATGAACTCCAACTCTTCTCTGGAAATACTAATTTTAGGGCGTCCTGGATTACCTTGAATGAAAATAATTTTATACATGTTTAAGTTATCAAATTAAAGTGTCAGAAAATTGTACATATTATAGAGGCCACTGCATCTAGTGTGTAACGCGAGGGTACCCAAATTGCACCTATTTTGACAGTGTTTTTAACCTACGTTTATTTATGCTTCAAACCAAAGTTTTCATTCTGTGTTTATTTTGTAGATGTATCATTATTTACTATATTGTTTCACCAATTTAATTTTGAATCCATATGGAATCATAGAAAAATTGGTCTGAACTGACCTCCAAACCATCAACGATTCTGTATTAATGATGAGTACCCAAATTGCATCCATGCTTAAATTCGCATCGTCAAAAGTAGAATAACAGAGCTTTTGTTTAATTTCTTCAAATATTTTGAACAATTGGGTATTAATCCATGCTTACTCTTCATTTATAAAAGTGGATACTTGTAACATATTGTATTTGCTAATTCTAAAAAGATGACGTTTTGATGACATTGCAAGGCGACGTTTCCGAACATTTTGCTTTTTCAGTAAACACTTCATCTGTTGATAAATACTGTGAATGTTTTGTGTATATCTAAATATTTTTACCTATGTTCATGATGTTGAAAGACATGCATAGTATCAAATCATAAAAATACAAATTGTTTAGTCTCTAGGAAACCGTAAGATTTCCGCTGCTATTTTGCTAAATAGGTGCAATTTGGGTACCGTGACGTTAGGTAAAAGTAATATCTTTGTTTAGCTTGCTTGCTAGCTGAACCGTGAAGTCATTATTAGGTTAGGTAAACTACCCTCCTTTAAGAGTAGACTAGTCTGTCAGGTGTCCAATCAAAGGAGGGTAGCATACATGTACCTTATCTAACAATGACTTCACGGTTCACATGTACACAATTTTGATATACATGTATACATATTCAGTTTGTTACAGATGTTGCACTGTATGTAAACTTTAGCAATGAGTCATTGACCAATTTTGTTCATTATTCTGATTGATTTTTGTCCCAAAAAAGGTAAATTTAGAACAATATAACTATACAGGTAAATGAATTTGAGGAACATCTTCTAAGATCTACAGACACAAATTTCTAAACTGCCAAGCCATAACAAGAATAATGCCAGAAAATAGGTGCCTACTCGTATCTTTTATTGTCCTGGTGTGATTTTTTTTAATCAGATAGACATGTATATTATGGACTTCAACTCACTTTTTTAAGTTTGAGAACAACTTTCAGAGTGAGGGACTATCCCCCAGACAAGGGGTCATTTTACTGTGATATAAAAGAAATAAATAGGGAATGTCAGCTAGAACATGCCTAGTCCAAATAATTATGACGTCTTGGAAGGCTATTTTAAATTTTTGCTTTGACGACTTCCTGTGACAATGTAAGGCTCCTGTGACAATGTAAGGCGTCAAAGAAAAAAATATAATAGCCTGTCGTAATTATTTGGAATATAACATGCCCCGAAATCACAAAGATAAAACAATTCAAATGAGAAAACTAATGGGCTAATAATTTTAATATACAAAAAAATGAACAGAATCTAATATGCAACAAAGAACAACTATATTCCGTTTCAAATAAATTCAAAGAATTAAACAAAACTTGCATAGTTTATATGAGTTGATATAAAAATTGTAAAAATTCATACGCATATCGCACATAAATTTATTTATGTTCTTAGTTTACGATGCTCATACGAATATAACATATTTATGTGCTAACTTGCTCTAATTTTCTTGTACAACTCTACCCCTAATCTCTGTCTAAACTAACTCAAATTGTATATATCTATACAAATAAGACAAGATTATTTCTGAAACTAACAGGCACGGTGACCATTTCGACGTACAAAGAAAGCAGAACGTGTAAATGATATAAACCTAAATGTTTAGAAACTGATAATCGTAACTATCTGATACGTAACCATCTTTAGCTAAATCAGATTTCCATCTTCCATGTATTTTAAAAAGTCTATCTGGTGTATCATATTTAGCGGCCGCAGTGGCACCGCCTGCTCTGAAACTGTGTAAACCAAATTTGCTTACATTTAAACCAATTTGTGATAAAGCCTCTTTAACTCACTCTCTTGCTCGAATATACGAAATTTTTACATTTTTACTTCTCAATATAAAAGAATTAGTTTTCTTTAGAAAAGAAAATGCACGAAATATAAAAGATTCTGAATTATTCCCAATCTTTGCTAAATCTAGATAACTTTGCAAAAGCTTTAAGGGACAGTAGGGACTATCTAATCTAGAAATAACAACGTATGCGAAGTATGAAAAACTATGTCTTTAACTGTAATGTTGCATAACTCATTGAAACGCAAAAACCCTGTATACATTAACGAACACTTTAACAATAAACGCACTTCTTTCAATGAGTTACGATCATGGTATTTATTAAACAGTTTAATCAGTGAGTTCGAGTCAACAGGTTCTTTTTTCTTTTTCAGACGAGATAGTATTCTCTTAGCACCTTCTAGTATATTCTTGACTAGCTCGGATTCGCATGGATCAGTTACGCCAGCAAAACGATGAGCCCATTTTATGCTACAAAATGCTGTACCTACTGAACTAAAACCTTTACATGACTCAATCAAATGTTGAAAGTATAAACCAACATGACGTTTATTACACGGAAGTACGGAAGTTATCTCTTTGTATTTTTGTGTCCACCTTAGAAAACGTTCCAATATACTTACTAACAGTCGACTCCTGACTTGGGACAGGCACATACATTTGTACATACAGTAGGTTAAACATGATCCAACCATCCCCCCTAACATGGAAGGTGGTGTAACTGTAAGGCCAACTAAACTTAACATGCTTGATGAGATTTTCTTCCAGAAATTTAATGACCCCTTGCTCCAGACAAAGGACAATCCCCATAAATGCCAATGGAAATTTTATCAACGATTTCAAAACAATTAATTTTACAATGGCTTGTAAAAGTATGGAGAAGCCAAAATAACAACAATAAAATGTATTTGAAGGTTTTGTAGGACTAATATAAGAGACATCATGCACGTATAACCCCCCTGGGCATTTTGAAAAGTTGGCAGGTAGTAGGTACATGTACCGTACGAGTACATTCCGCCCTGTAGGCGTAAAACAGCCATGTAAAGCAAATAATTAGTTCTTAAGAATCACTAACATACATACCCGATTTTGGTCTTTCTGCACGATAGCGAACTGTAGATGTGGATGATCGTAAAGATTCTGCTGCTTTCGACATCTCATCCAGCAACACCGTCATACGTTCAGCAGTGGGGTTGTCTAATTGCGGCTTAACTTCTACAAATTTTCTATTAGCGTCTCTCAAAAGAAGATCTACTTCTTCCACAGGAATGTTAATTTGAGACGTAAGGCTTTCAAAATCCTGAAATATCTTTAACAAGTCACTTTTACTGCCAGTCGGGATTTCACGCGCCATTTTTCTGTTCAATTTTTCTTTCAATTGATCATTATCAGCTACAAGCTTGCAGTAACGTATATTTATCGTATGTAAAAGCACACAAACAACTCAGACATAGGTGGCGTATTTATTAATATTAAAAAATGATTTTTAATAACCAGAATATTTAATATTAAATATTCATTTTTTAATATTAAAAAATAAGACCATTTATTAATATTAGAAAATGATTTATTAATATTAAAAAATGATTTTTTAATATTAAAAAATGATTTTTTAATATTAAAAAATGATTTTTTAATATTAATAAATACGATGTATTTTTTAATATTACAAATTATTTTTTAATATTAATAAATCGAATATTTAATATTAAAAAATGAATATTTAATATTAAAAAATAAAACCTATTTATTAATATTAAAAAATCCCTATTTATTAATATTAAAAAATATTTTTTAATATTAAAAAATCGATTTATTAATATTAAAAAATAATATTTAATATTAATAAATGATTTTTTAATATTAATAAATAGGGAATAAATTCCA